GTTTTTAGGAAATAATGGCAGGACCTCTCTGCTTTGTCCCAACATTTCATTCCAGGCCTGGTGACCTTCAGGGGCTCTACTTTCATTTTCACCAAAACTGCTGCCAAAGACATGCCTTTCTAAACAGCAGGTCAGAACAAGACAGCTGAGCATTTTAAAGCAACCTTTTCCTTTAAAGAAGGCCTTGTGTTACATAAGAGACAACTGTAAAATCAGGGTAGGTGGTTTGTAAACATGTTAAGCACCAGACAAGTTCAGAAAAAACGCGTGACATTCAGTAGGGAAAGAGATCTGATCACTAACGGCTTTCAAGACATCTCCTCTGAGCTTCAATGCAATAAGTGCCTGAACGCAGAGCACTTCTGAACCAGGCAAGACACACAATATATATATATTTTTTTCTGTTTCTGATCGCAGAAAAATCTCAAAAAAATAAGGCAACAGTTAATTGGTGAGGGTAGAGGCAGCAGTATGTTAATTTAGTCATAGTTAATGTTAGAGTTAGGGTTAGGAATTATTTAAGGTTAGGAGAGGTTAGACTTGACTGGGTACTGGTTAAAGGGAAACTAAAAATGCAGGTTTATGGGGTGAGGACTGTCACCTAGGGTTGGCAATGGGAATCTGGACTGTGGAAGGTTAGGGGACGCAAAACAAGAAGCAAGGGGGGTAGCTTCAAGTAAGAGGGGTAATAATGGTTCATTTTGGTAAAATGAATCAAAGTGTCAGTCCTGTTCTGGGTGAAGTTCAAGGTAATGGCAGCAGATCTTCAAGGGACCTGGATCTCAATGCAAACACTGTTAAAGATAAATCACTCAACCGGATTCCAAAAGAAACAAACTATAAGCGACTTCATGGTGTCCGTCGTTATGTGAAAAATGGAGTCTCGTCGCCAAGCAGGAATATCTCTTTGGATCTATCGACAAGGTCGGAGCCAGAGCGGACGTCCATCACTCCTGCTGCCAATGTCCAGTCTCTCTCATTCCCTGGCCTTGGATCCTGAGGTGATCTTCTGAGTTTGAGCCGATTTGGGCTCTTTCGTCCTCGGCCGAACCGGGTGACTGGTGATGACTCACCCATGAAGACAGGGCACCTTGTTTGAGTGTCATTACTGAAATGCAAACTGGGACAGAGACCATTTGAGTGAGTTTGCGACCTCAGCGTGCCCACGGGGGGGGGAAATACCCTCTCCTCATTTATGGGGATAAAGAGACAGTCCCGTACTGCCATCTCACCAAAACAGACCTCTACTGTTCTGTCCCGCTCACTTAAAACCGGTCTGTCATCCGTCGCTGGCTCCTCATGTGGAGACACACATGTGTGCACTTGTGTAAGTGTGTGTCACAAATTGTCTCCCCCCCCCCCTTCCCCACCCCGAGAGCACTCTTCTGGCCAAATGCACTTTTTGCATTAAGGATTCATGAACGTGTAGTGACAGCAAAGCGCCTCGGTTAATCCCACCCCCCCCTCCCTCCCCCGCACCCCCATCCCGCCGCACACAAGCGC